TAATAGCACTGCGCTTCTTTCTTTTTTGGCAGCTCCACAGTGCATAGCAAATCCGCAACAAATGCAGTTGTCGCGACTGTCGTTGTCATTGCAACCGCCGTCGCCATGACGACGGCAGAATCTGCTGAGAGCCGTTGTCAGCTGTCACGGGTTAGGGGCATCACTTCTGAGCTGTTTTAACCCGCAGATTGCGTGCCTGCGGGGTTAAAAGTGCACACCTATTGGTATGAATAACGCCAGCGCAAATGGAGGTTTCTCATTAGAATGACGGGCGGACAGGGCTAGTTACCGAGAAGCCCATTCGTTGAAGTTTGAGCCAGTATGTCACTTTAGATCATGCGATACTCTACATTGGTCGATGATCGAACCAGCGTGTTACTATAGACCATGTGGTAGTCTGTTTCCCGAAACCAAAATGCGCTTCGAAAAGAAAGCACTGCGCTAAGTGCCACAGGAGAGAAAACAGAGCAATAGGTTAGCGTTTTGTTGAACTCGTGGGGTGGTAGCCTCGTGTTCACATATAGTTTTGTCTAAGCAGTGTGTTTCCAGCTTTCATGGTATCTGTTTTACAAGCATGTTGACAAATTTGTGTTTTGGAAACATTGCAGAATACAAACATTTTAGAAGGCAGGACAACTCAAATGTCTCCTTCTCTTTGTGGTGAGGAGGGGAATTTTGAATCAAATTTCGAATTGGAATTCGATAGAAATTCTGGGCTCTTCAGATGGATTTTGAGGAAACTGATGTTACCGATTAAATCGAACGCGATTGATTTAAAGATAAGTAAAAGCACAATTGTGGTATTCTCCCTTTAAGAATAAGGCACATTTAATGTCCATTTCACTAAGGACAATAAAAGTTTATGCAATGATAGGATACAGCTATGTATCCACTGAGAAAATGTCCTCTGACCAATGACAGTGATTCTCGACTCAGGAATAAACAGAATAGGTAAAAGTACCTTGACCCTGGTTATATGAGTAAATCGTTCTCAGAATGCTGATGACTGAGTCACATGGCTCTTTTCAAATGTTGTCTCTCTAGAGACGGGAATCGCTGATACTTGTCAATGTAAAATTGCTCTCATTGTAGTTGTATGTGCATAAAGATTTCGCAATTTTCGGAATAAGCAAAATATGGATGATGCTTGTTTGTTTATGTTTTGTGATAACGTGCTGGTTCCAGAACGTAGAAAACTTTTGCATTTACATTTACTTATGCATATTTACAGTATATGTGCTTTCCGTAAACGACGAAATGAATGCATAGTTAAAGTCATTTAAGCATCGCGCCTCGGTCCTTTCTCTTTGGGTCAGAAGAACCGTAACTTGTCTGAAAAATGTATCCCGTCCACGTCGTTTCTTCTATAATAGAGGTTCAAATTTTACACCATGCTCTTTTTCACCTCTTTCCTATATCGTTTCTTTTCTGATGGAACTTCAGCTTTTATGTCATGCTGTTTTCCAGCGACACGTGGCGACAGCGTTTTTGGCACAACGCTTTAACTGACCTATAGTCAGTTCATATTGGCCCTTTCATTTTCCACGGCTGACATTCATCAGACTGCAGGAACCTCTCCGACATCCTGTCTCGCACCTCTACCCAACCAACCTAATCGTACCTGACATCTTGAAAGCGCCCTTTACAAATACCGTCTCCTGCCTCAGTTTGTTATCCACTGGGACGGCCACGTCAGCAACCATTAATGGATACGCGGGTGCGTCACCTGATGACTTGAGCAGATGACTTATAAATAGATTCGTAACAGACGACGTCTGCCCAGTCAAGTCGGTTTAGCTGCATTGTTTTGTATGTGTGACTTGTTGACATGTGCCCACGGTGGTAAATGCTTAAAATGTTTTAGGATGTTTCGAAACATCATTATAATACCCGATAAGGTTTTGGAAAATTGTAGGTCTGTTTTTAAGAGCACGCCTCTTGTTTTAGCAGTCTGTTTGATACGCTAAACGTGAATATGAAGAGTAATAGCCATGAGAGATGTGACGAAACATGGTTGGTTTCAAAACATTAAGCACAGTAAATGTGCTTGCCTTTTCTATCAAGGTCCTATCTACCATGGTCAACAAATATAAGTGCATCCCTCCCAAGAGCATGCTTGATGGCCAAAATGTGTCCTGTTATTGGATGCTGTTGTCGCAGATGGAACATGTTCTAAAAAATCGATGCGTTTTTGGCTGTATCCTCGGCTGCCTTGTACTTTTTGCAGGGCATGCATCGCTTTGAATACCGTCCGCCACATGGAGGTGTCTTATGCCCCAAAGCAGTCCCACATATGATTACCGCAGACGAAATGCCTGTTTTCATCTGCCCCGCTTCGAAAACCGAGTCATGTCTTTTGTCGCCAACTGTAATGATCCCGATCTGGGAGGCGATGCTGCAATGGCATTGACTTCGCCCCAGAAGAACCCACCCCAAGTTCACCTCTCTGTCGTCCACCATGTAGCACACGCCGTTGACAATCAAAGGTCGCTGGCGACCCTGGCCCAGCGCTGGCGAAATGGCGACTTTGGCCCAGCGCTGACGAAATGGCGACCCTGGCCCAGCGCTGACGAAATGGCGACCCTGGCCCAGCGCTGGCGAAACGACTTCGCACGTTGCAGGCCAATATTCCCTGGATCGCTTCTGGGATGTGCATACCAGTAATATTCAGATTTCTGACCAAAAATCTGTCAGGTCTTAAAGTGCATCTACTAATTCCGTCTATTGCTCTACGAGCGTCCCTGCTGCTCGTCTGGTGTGGAAATTTAGCATAACTGGTGCAGAGCAGACCTCTGCCAGAGCCCTACCGCCGCGATCGGGGACCGTCGTCGGACCTCGACGGCAGGGCGGCGCCGGCCGCTAACCCAGAGCGGCGTGCGTCGGGCGACGGCCCCCGCGTGGCCCGGGCTGCTCCGAGCAGTGACGGATTGCCGGGTCTCCACGCCTGCAGCCGTGCCTGACTCGGGTCGGACGGCTGGCGGGACCACCCGCCGTTGACGGCCCCTTCTCGCGGCACACCCCTCGGCGCGACTCGTCGGTCGGACCGCGCCGCGCAAACACCGATCCGTAGCCTCCCGGTCCGGTTTGACGAGCGAGAAATGCGGAAACTGGGGACGAGCGCACCGGCGGAACCACCTGGTCCCTGTCATGTCGAGTCCCGAGCGCGTGTGAACGCGTGTCGGCGCTGTAACGGTGCAGCGCATGGTCGCGCTTATGTGTTGCTTCCCCACGCCGGCAGGTATAAAGCGAGGCAAAATTAGGGGTGCAAAGTGTGTGAAGCCATTATCGCAGGCCACGGACCTTGTTTTCCTTGATATTGGGAATGAAAGCGAGGACAGCTGGGAGCGCTTCACTAGCCCACCCAGATGCTGATATGAATGAATGAATGTGACGCGAATGTGAATTAGTGTGAATGACGCGTCAGGATGGCTGAAACCGGACCAGACCGGGCGTCCGGACCGGACCAGACATCCGGACCGGACCGGGCATCCGGACCGGACCGGGCATCCGGACCAGACCAGACATCCGGACCGGACCGGACATCCGGACCGAACCAGTCATCCGGACCGGACCGGGCATCCGGACCGGACCGGGCATCCGGACAAGACCGGGCATCCGGACCAGACCGGACATCTGAACCAGACCGGGCATCCATGAGCGGACATCGGGACTGAATCTGGCATCCGGACCGAACCAGGCATCCGAACCGGACCAGACATCCGGACCGAACCGGGCATCCGGACCAGACCGGACATCCGGACCGGACCAGACATCCGGACCGAACCGGGCAGATGGACCGGACCAGGCATCTGGAGCAGACCGGGCAGATGGGCCGGACCAGACATCCGGACCGGACCAGACATCCGGACCAGGCCGGGCGGACGGGCCGGACCAGGCAGCCGGCGCTGTTGACGCGGACTGATGACTACATACAAGACGGTTTCTTTGGAGACATTAGTAACGCACACACCCGAGGACCAGTAGAGAACTACCTCTGATTTCACACCATGTGCTATTGGTACAGGTATCATCGGTGGGGCTTTGCGCTAACCTGGGTCTCCATCTGGTCTTCATTCAAGCTGAGAGCACCTGGTGCTCTTGCTGCGCTTGGTATGACAAGTTTTGCAATTATAACTGATCTACCATGCATGATCAATAGGCTGCACAGGTATAGTCTCGTGTAATGTGTTGTAGTGATGGTCCGTTGCCGTTGTACTTGATTTTGAGCGTTAAGTGCTTTCCCATTATTCATTTGTTGTAACGTAATACGTTAAGTTTCCTTGACTGATATTACATATAACATGGATGCACGCCATCGCTGTAATAGTTTTCATTTAGTTTCTACCCTAGTATTGTTTATTGCGTTCACCACTGGTGCTGCCCCGAGTGACAGGGCAGAGTTTCGGTCCCCACCTGGCGCCTGGCAGCTGGAGCGAAACAGGCGCCTGCAGAGAATCAGCACGTGCCACGCGGCCCCGCCTACACAAGGATGTGGCATTCACCCTCCTGTCCTCGTTCTCGCTTCATCCTGCACCATCGTGACACCCCGTTCCGGGTAAGCTACATGCACCAGCCATGAGTGGCCCAGTGGCCGGCACCCCAGTCAGTGACCGCACCCTGTCCGAGCGCCGAGTACACCCCGTACGTGAACCCCTGTGCGGCCTGAGGTTCGGCGGAGGACTCCCAGGTGCATGCAGGTTAGCCCCACCATTGCCCGCTCTTCTTCATACCATAGCCCTGAAATGGTCATTGCGGGCCGAAAGGGCGTTTATCCAAACCAGACCAGACCAAAACAGAGCTATGCAGCTGATGTGGCGCTGTTGGTGCGTAGCGACGCGTCGATCGTAATGTAGCGTAACCTCACGCGCCAAGTCACGCTCGGCGCTGTACTTACCGGGCTTGCCCTGGCCGCTGCCGCGGGGCTGGCCGTCGATCGGCGCCGCCGGCTTGCCCGGTGCCTCTCGGGCTGCCGGCCGGTATGGTGGCGCCACCTGCCCGGCCAGACCGCCGGCGGCGGCCGCGTACTGGTGCGGCGTGCCCGCGGTTCTAAGCGCCGACCGCTGCCCGTCCGCCGCCGGCACATCGCCGCCCACGAAGTGGGCGTGGATGTCGAAGTCGCTGCGGGCCACCTTGACGCGCAGACCGGGCCGGCTCGGGCGCCGGCCTCCGGCGTAGCAATTGGTGACGTCCACAGGCGCGGCGGCGCGGCCGGCCGAGGCGCGGCGGCCGGCCGAGCTGCGGCGCGCGCCGTCCGCCGCCGAGCCGCGCCGGCTCGCGCCGTCCGCCGCCGAGCCGCGGCGACTCGAGTCGGCGCCGGAGCCGCGCCGGTGCAGCAGCCGGTCGGCCGTCTCCAGCTGCCGCTCGGTCGGGTGCCGCACCTTCTGCAGCGAGGAGAAGGTCGGCTGCAGGTAGGAAGGCTCCGCCGTTCGCGGCGTGGAGCAGAGCAGCGGGCCGTCGCCGGCGCCGCCGTCCGCGGCATGGTCCGACGGGCAGCGCGGCGTCACGGCGCAGACCGCCGGCAGCGCGCTCTGCGCCGAGCCTGCACCCACCAACCTCGACTGTGGGAACTCCGACATCAGGTTTAGATACTGGGGGAACGTCACGTGACGGGAGCAGAGCGGGCGCGTGGCGTACCCGCAGTAGTCGGACGGCCTCGTGAGCTCCTCCGGCTGGAGCCTGGCGTCCAGCACCGCTCCGACAGCCACGCCCGGTCCGAGGTAGCGGTACTGCGGCTGCCAGGGTGCCAGCGAACCCTGCGCCCAGGCGCCGGGGCCGCAAGACCAGGCGAGCCCGGCGCAGCCGTCTGCTGGGCCTGGCGGCAGGGGCGGCAGCGCTGTCTGCCGGCCGCCGGCGCCCGGCCAGATCGCGGCGCCGCTCCTGTCCGCGCCGAGCAGCAGCTGCTGCTGCTGCTGCTGTCTGGCCGGTGTCGAGGCCGCGGGCGGGCCGGGGCGGACCGCGAGCACCGCCGACACGAGGGGGGAGGCCGGGCCCCGGGCGAAGGCGCCGGCCTGACCGCGGCCGATCCGCGCCGCGCCCGCCGCCAGACTCAGGCCGCTGAACGGCAGGCCGCTGGGCGAGTCTGCCGAGCGGTCGGCGACGCTCGGCCGCACCGGCACCGGCCGCACAGAGCAGAGCGGCCGCGCCGGGCCGCTCGGCCGCAGCGGCGGCGGCTCGCCGGCCGGCTCCATCGCGGCCAACGACGGCCGGCAGACGCGGGCTGGACAGGCGACGGACGCCCGTCCACTCTCCAACAGAGGCTTGTTCAGTATCTGGCGGACTGCCGTTCGTGATCTAACCAGCGATCACTCACTATCCCATGAAGTCTCTTATCCTCTCGACGCTGCGATTAGCGGCAGGTAGCGTAGTGAAGTCTCGCTACCCAACAGTCCACCCGCTAAAAGCACTCGGCGCCGAGCGTCGAGGTGCGATTCCGCGGCCTTCCTGCCCCCGCGGCGCCTGCGGGTCCGGTCGCGGCTCCCTCGCCGGATGCCAGACGGGAGTCCCCGGCTCCGGCACCGCACCCTATCCTCGGTCGGCGGTCACCAGCACAGCACCGGCCCGGACGCCGGACGGAACTGCAGCCGTACTCCGGCAACACTCGAAGCACGCCGTCGCACTATCGTACTGACTGCACAGATATGGCGACATGAGCGAGACTCCTCCGCAGATAGCACGGCCGTCATGCCGTTCTCATGCTATCAAAGGTAAACACGGGCCCGATACGTGTGGCGAGACTCCATCGCCATGAGGTGGGACCGTGACATCGAGATTACAGAGCGTTACGTTCGTGATTCATCTTGCAGCCTGCTATCCTAAAAATGATGAGGCAGCTCAAAAGAAAACGGAATGCCGCCCACAATTTATTCGACGACGTGGTCCACCCTACAAGAGTATTACAAGCACCTGAGCGGCTTATTAGCGGGTCCGAAGCGTCGGGCGTCTAATCGCAACAACGTAAACTGTTACTGTTTCAGATCTGACCAATACAGGTACATAATAAAACCACACAACCCCTACAAAGTAACATGATTGCCGCGTCCCTCGAGCCATACACCTCGTCTACCTCGGCTAGAGCACCGCCCCCGACTACCCCATCCCCGCACAGCCCGCCATGGCCTCCGTTCGCGCGCCGGCCTGCGCCAGGCACCGTCACACAGCTCGTATTGCCACGCCGCGTCCAGCGCGTCACGCGGCGTCTCCGCCTCAGACTGCACTCCCTGCGACGCCAGACGCGGCGTCTCCGCCTCAGGCTGCGTTTCCCGCGGCGCCAGACGCGACGTCTCCGCCTCAGACTGCACTCCCCGCGGCGCCAGACGCGACGTCTCCGCCTCCGGCTGCGTTTCCCGCGGCGCCAGACGCGGCGTCTCCGCCTCAGGCTGCGTTTCCCGCGGCGCCAGACGCGGCGTCTCCGCCTCAGGCTGCACTCCCCGCGGCGCCAGACGCGACGTCTCCGCCTCCGGCTGCGTTTCCCGCGGCGCCAGACGCGGCGTCTCCGCCTCAGGCTGCGCTCCCCGCGGCGCCAGACGCGGCGTCTCCGCTGGCAGCTCAGTCGCAGCGGGCGAACACCAGCGCAGCGCGGCTGGGCAGGTACACCTGGAGGAGGCGCGGGCGGTCAGGTGACAGGGCAGGTACACCTGGATGAGGCGCGGGCGGTCAGGTGAGAGGGCAGGTACACCTGGAGGAGGCGCGGGCGGTCAGGTGACAGGGCAGGTACACCTGGAGGAGGCACGGGAGGTCAGGTGACAGGGCAGGCACACCCGAAGGAGGCGCGGGCGGTCAGGTGACAGGGCAGGTACACCTGGAGGAGGCACGGGAGGTCAGGTGGATGGACATGTACACCTGGAGGAGGCACGGGAGGTCAGGTGACAGGGCAGGTACACCTAGGGAGGCGCGGGCAGTCAGGTGACAGGGCAGGTACGCCTGGAGGTGGCACGGGAGGTCAGGTGGATGGGCAGGTACACCTGGAGGGGGCGCGGGCGGTCAGGTGACAGGGCAGGTGCACCTGGAGGAGGCACGGGAGGTCGGGTGACAGGACAGGTACACCTGAAGGAGGCGCGGGAGGTCGGGTGGCTGGGCAGGTACACCTGGAGGAGGCACGGAGGTCAGGTGGCTGGGCAGGTACACCTGGAGGAGGCACGGGAGGTCAGGTGACAGGGCAGGTACACCTGGAGGAGGCGCGGAAGGTCAGGTGACAAGGCAGGTACACCCGGAGGAGGCGCGGGAGGTCGGGTGGCTGGGCAGGTATGCCTGGCGGCAGAGAGGGACACTCGAGTGGTGGTGGGGCAGTGACATGAGGTACGTGACGACATTTAGGGACATTATCGGGGTGAGCTTAAGCAAGTACACATCGCCACAGTGAGGGACAGTTGAGTGGTTGGGAAGGTACACGCAGCTACAGTGGGGGACAGTTAAGTGACGGAAGGCACATGTGGCTACAGTGGGAGACAGTTGAGTGACTAGGAAGGTACACGTGGCTACAGTGGGGGACAGTTGTGACTGGGAAGGTACACGTGGCTACAGTGGGGGACAGTTGTGACTGGGAAGGTACACGTGGCTACAGTGGGGGACAGTTGTGACTGGGAAGGTACATGTGGCTACAGTGGGGGACAGTTGTGACTGGGAAGGTACACGTGGCGACAATGAGACGATTGGGGGTGCAGCTGGATACTGAATCACGGCAGTTGGTCCCATCACACAGGCCGAGAGGAGACAAATCACATCACAAGCCGCATTCCCGAGGGCGTCGGCACTTGCAGGATTTTGAACATTCACGACGCTGAGTGTTTGTCTTTTGCGACCCATTACGAATGAATTTTAAGGGAATGTTCCCCATTTGAAGATGTTGAATCAAGCATTAAATGTGGTGAAACAAACTAACTTATAATCACCGGTATACTCTGAAATGGAAAAGACTGCTCTACACAGCACAATTTCTTTGTGTAGTAGATGTATTCCTCCATGCACCCTTGTTTGATGACGTCATCGTGCTTTGCACAACACTGTTTGAGAGCCAATTGACGGCCGCTATAAATTAAAATCGTGCTCCCAAACGTCAGATATTAAGGACTCAGATATTAAGGAGTTTGAATAACGTGATTATGGCGTCATGAATGCCTGGGTGGCCTTGGAATATCCTCCCTGAAATAGTCTGCACGTCTTCGCGGGCGTGTCGCCCCGAAACTAGACGGGTTTAGGTATTAAGACGGGCAGGGCTGTGAACTGCGCAGACCTTCAAGATGGCTATTTCAGTTCAGAATACCATACGAATTTGGAACACTCGCTTCAGCATCTTCACTTCACCCCCCGCCTACATTACACACCCGAATACTCTAACCCGCAATAAAACACAATGTGCGGCGTCTGCGACCAGATGACTGTCATAAAAAGATTCCGCATTGTCGGTGGGTATCACACGACTCCCTCATTTCAACCGTGTTCAACCATTCCAACTGAAACAACACTGTTCAACAAAACGTGACGCATGCTACCGTCATCACATCATCCCGCACTCCCGACAGCTGACGGCTGCGCGTGACGTCTGCCACACGTCCGGGCCACCTGGCGCGCGCGGCGCCGCCGGCCGCGGACAGCCGACTCACCAGCATCGAGTGGCGCCGACCGCAGTAGCCCTCGTCCAGCGTGAAGAACTTGGTGCTGGGATCGACCCTGTTGTGGCCGCCGAACTCGGCCCGGTCTGTGTCCAGCACTATCTGGTAACATCCGGGCACGTCGACGCCCACCTGGTGAATGGAAAGATAGCTCGCTAGATCTGGCAAACCCCAGGGATATCCATGCAGGCGTGATTCATGAACAGGGGGGAACACAACGCGATTTGAAAACGTACGCTAACAAAACAGCGTAGCCAGCACGTCTGCCAAACGCACGGCAGACCTAGAGCCATCTGTGATGACCGGTCTGAACTGCCGAACAGATCGCACTTGCTGTAACTGGGCTACGTCCGCGCGTCGCTCGGTTGACGGGCGGGGAGATCGGCAGGTCAGGTCACCGACCGCCCCACCCCAGACGCCCCCCCCCCCCCCCAGACCAGAGCACAGCTCCAGCCCCAAAGGTGGCGTCTGGACGCGACAGGAGCGGCACGCGACAACGCGGGGCGGCCAGCCACCTTGTAGCCGGTGAAGGACTTGCTGGTGTGGAAGTTGAAGGCGAACACGACGCCGGCGCGGTCGTGCACCACCACCTTGTCGTCCTGATGTTTGCAGCTAACGTATGCCTGCGGGTGCGATCATGGTCAGAGAGGCCGACCAACAGCTCGAGGGCAGGGCGGGAATGTACGCCACTGGGAGGGTCGATACACTGTGCTGGTGCGTGGGAAAACATACCAAGGAATACAATACAAGAACCGCTCGTGCCATAACTAAAGACTTCTCTAACACAGTTTTTGCGACAAATGCCAGCCCTTGGGCTTCAATGCCCCCTTCAAGAAAAAAGGTAATATTTTATGCAACGTGAAGCAGATGGTCCTTATTAGCATTTTTGGATACACCACAAGAATTGATAATTCCTATTCGTGGCACTAGAAAGTTGTAGTAACACACTGCGTAACTGGATGCTATCACAACACAATTATCCAGAAAAGCTTGCTTTTGTATGCAAGTACTACTACCGGAAAACAGTACCGGAACACGAGAGAATTGTCATAACTCGAAAAAGAGACGCCATAACCGACATCGGCATGGCAACGGGTCACGTAATGACGCGATCGAAGCCTTACGACCAGGATCGGTAAGCATTTATTGCATCCATGTCCAGAGCGACTCCCGGCCAGACCAAGTCCCAGTAACGCTTAGATGCAATATTTGCTCAACTTGACGTCCGCTTTCTTGCGGACGCTGAGTATGAGGGCAGGTAAGTCACAGGCACAGGCACGGGAAATAGCTCTTGCTAGCATGTAATGTAATGATCTGCACTATACCAAAAAAGGTGAATCTATAAACATGTGGTAGTGTATGTACATCAGTCGGCTGCTTTTCACACCCACACCCTCACACACTTACACGCACCTTCACCCGCACGCACGCTCGCACGCACGCACGCACGCACATTCACACGCACACACACATACACCCACACCCACACATACACACACCCCCGACGAGCGCAGGGAGTCGCCGAGTCCAGATGGCCGCTGCTCGAGCTTACTTGGATGTGGACCGGGTTGTGGAGGTCGGCGCTGTCGAACACTCGCCCGGTGCGGAACTGGAGAGGATCGGGAGAGGAGCGGCCGCCGGCCCGTCGGAGTCAAGGTCAGGTCACGGTCACACCGCACACCAACGACACTGGCCGGCTGTGGGCCAATCAAAACACAAAGCAACGCGGCAGGTACGCCTCCAGAGGTATGTGTCCAATGCCATTGTTCAAACGCGGTCTTGTCGATCTCACTCGTGCAGTAAAGCTACCAAATTGCTGTGCAGCAGCCGATGCCATAACCCGTGTGACCAGCTTGCCCAAATTACGACACACATTGACTGTTACAGCTGGGGAGAGGGGGGGGGGGGCAGGTTTGAGTAGCGACACACGTCGCCATAGGTGTCTGGGTCGTGTCTCGGGGTCAACACGTCACGCAGAGCAGACCCAGACACTGACCGGGTCGGCGTGCAGCCAGCCCAGCCGCGCCTCCAGATGGTTCATGGCCGCGTCGAAGTCGTTGAGCATGCGGTAGCGCAGCATGGTGTCGTCGACCAGGTGCCACTGGCGGCGCGCGTAGTGGTACGAGTCGTTGTTGCCGATGCGTGGGAAGTCCAGCCACTCCGGGTGGCCGAACTCGTTGCCTGCGATCGTGCAGAAGCGGCATGTTACGCGATGCGAAGGCACAGCAGCTACTCCGGCCTCCACAGCTTCAATTCCCGTTCAGGTCGTGCTTCGTAAGTGACGTAGTAAGGCACCCCATCTGCCCTTTTCGTTGTCAAGAAAATATATGGCGATCGTGTCAGCATCATGCTGCTAAACATCTAAAACATTTCAAAATGCAGGCAAGGACATCAGCGTCGCCCAGCTACGCACCCATGAAGTTGAGATACGCCTCGCCGCCGAGAGAGTGCGTTAGCAGTCGAATCATCTTGTGCAGCTGGATGCCGCGGTCGATGATCAGATTGGGTGGGCTCGTCACCGACATGTTCGTGTACATCTCTTTGTCCATCAGCCAGAACGCGATGGTCTTGTCGCCGACGAGCGCCTGCAGGAGGCGCAATCCGGTCAGACTTCCCACAGAACAACGATGAGATCAAAACACCGATTCAAACGACATCACCAGCTAAGCTGGACCCCCCCCCCCCCCCCCCCCCCCCCCCCGCCTACTCTGACTCACAGTACCATCGGACTCACCCTTGCACTGTGTCAGATGACACAAATGACAATGTGCCTCACCCAACCGAAGACAACCGCCGGCCAGCCCCTGACACGCGCGTATCTCAGCCCGGAACCCATCGTGCGCGTGCAACAAATGTACGGGCGGCGTGGATCGATTTCATGGCATGTACGGGTGGTGTGGCGGACAGACGGCGGTCGGTGAAGACGCATTCCAATACGAGGTGCTAAAGGGATCGAGCTGAAGCAATAAAAGAACCACACAATATTACTTGAGAATTCAAAGCATGCAAGCCAGCATATTCCTGAACAAGGACCTGATCATGAGATTCAGCATAGGCGATTGTCTTCTCCATCCAGCGACGGTTAGTGAGTGTGAAGACCAGGTTGCCCATGTCCCAGTTTTCGTCGGGGTGCTCCTTCAGCAGCTCGATCCACTTGTCGGGGATGGCCATTCCCAGACGATAGTCAAAACCCGTGCCGCCCTGCTCCACTGGACAGCAGAGAGCCGGCATACCAGACACGTCCTGCATGGGCAGCGCAGACACGAGTCAGGACAGGCCTCGCTGCACCGGGCGACAAAGGAGCGGCATACCGCACGCGTCCCGTCAGTCCGGACAGATCCTGCCCCGATGGAAACAGAGCTGGCGTACAGGAGGCGTCGGGGCCCAGACGTGCGCCGGCTGGAAACATCGCACCACACGCAACACAGAGTGCGGGAGGGGCCGGACTCAACTAAGGTCACCGTGCCTGGTGTACAAGGCGACTGATGACGACCCGATCAGTGCACCCCGACAAGTCGGCTGCCCCTGAGCCCTGACCTCTGCAGCAGCTGACACGGCCCGAGAGCCGACAGCTCCCGCGCGCTCGCCAGCGGCCCGCGGGCCGACAGCACCCGCGCGCACGTCAGCGGCCTGCGAGCCGACAGCTCCCACGCGCTCGCCAGCGGCCCGCAAGCCGACAGCTTCCGCGCGCTCGCCAGCGGCCCGCGAGCCGACAACTCCCGCGCGCTCCCTGCGGCCGCTGAGCCAACGGCACCCACGCGCTCGCCAGCGGCCCGCGAGCCGACAGCTCCCGCGCGCTCGCCAGCGCTGCCATCAGCCACCGGCGCCGTCCCACAGAGACGGTTGACGTCGACGCCTCGGCCCGCGCCCTGCTGACCTCGGCGATGGTCGTGGACTCGGGGTAGAACTTGTGGGTCATGTAGCAGGCCAGCATGAGGTACACCAGCGACTCGGTGTCCGTGCCCAGGCCGAAGTACTCGTTGTAGTCTCCGCTGAAGCCTGCGCACGCGGGTGGCGGGGTGATGCTGGGCCACGCCGGCTCCGGTATCAACATCATTGCAAAATTACGGTACCTTTGAAGCGATACTAGATTGCACATCGAAAGACATGACACCAAGACATGCCGACTACTCCTGTCCGAGCCTCCCCGTTCTTTTCCTCCGCGCAGACCTACGCGGTGGTCGTATTAACGTTCCCGCCGGGTCCTAGCCGAGGAGAGGTGGTATCGTTCTAATTTTAATATGAACAAATTTGATTGACCTAGGGCTAGGTATGGAGGTCAGAATAAGGTCAAAACCAACCATCATTGCTAATGATGGGTGGAGGGTTAATTTGCCCCCGGAGGTTTTCCGGAATGGTGGCCGAGCGGCGCGTCGTAGTCGCGCCAAATTTTGCATGCTGTAGACAAATGAATAGCGGATGGTTTGGTGTCAAACATTTTGGTGTAGTTCGGAAGGTCACTGACCTACGGTAGGTCAACGTCAGGTCATGGATTCGGCGAAGTTAATTTCAAGGGAATCTTTCAATCTGATACAACAACGAAGTATTAGAGGAAGCCACAATCACTGAGATACTGTCTTAGGCAACACAACAATTGAATGAACAAAGTCTTCTGACCTGGGGCTAGGTATAAAGGTCAGACATAGGCCAAAACCAACCTGTTTTGTTATTTTAGGGCTTGCCGTACGGTGTAGTTTCTGGTGCTCATTTCGAATTTATTGATAACGAGAACCGAATTATACATACTCCATGGACTTACTAAGGTCAGAATAGGTCACTGACCTAAAATTACCATGGTCAGCATTTTGTTTTAGGAACATAACGCCTATTGTAATCTTTGTCACCTATTCAAAAGGAAAACTCAAATCAGTCTAGTATAATCTGAGTCACCGTGACCTTCGGTAGCGTCAGGCAAGGTCACTGACCTTAAATAAGCATGTGACCCTTTGCTTAGAACATGTGTCTACATTCCGGGGCTCTTTGGACGCCAACCTGGGGTTTGAACTTATTTGACCCGAAGGTCATGACCTAGGAACCTCAAACTTTGACCCAAGTGAGGTCACATACTGGCCAAAACACCCTGTGAACTGGGTGCTTCTAGCTCTCTACTTCTGAGATCTCAGGGGGGTCAAACTGACACTCACTCGAGCAAAGGGTATCCAACCGGCTGCCCGGGCGCGTATTAAGTATAGCTATTCGTGCAGGCCTATCAGACATGCTTAGACGGGCCAATATAACGGAAACATCGCGTTTACGTCATTGGGGCTTTATGACGCACTCAGCTGCTGAAGCTACATGGTGTCGCCTGCCTCTCAGGTGATCGAACCCCGTACCTCTGATTTCCCAAGACGCGCAGTGGTTAATGCAGACGCGTTAACCACTACACTACGGGCACCCCAACGGAAACATCGTGAACTTCGAAACAAGGGCCCCTCTTTCAGTCCAAACGTCGTACTTCCACGCCCAATGTTCGGAGATATAACGCCTGAGTTTGATTCGAACAAGACAGCGTGGCTGAGCCGCGCGGCGCGGCCCCAGCGCAGGACAGGGCAATGTCAGCGACAATATCAAAGCCTGGCCGGCAAATATACATAGCTATAAAGCCAAAATCGTCCACACCTCATGTCCACTCCAGCCACACCTGTTACGTCCGCCGTTGAGCCGACGCCGGCCAGCGACCGGACACTCACCCTGGCCGATGCCGTGGCTGTGGTACAGCATGGACGACACTCCGTCGAACCGGAACCCGTCGAAGCGGTACTCCTCCATGTACCAGCGCAGGTTGGAGAGGAGGAAGCGCAGCACCTCCCAGCTGCTGTAGTTGAAGAGCCGCGAATCCCACAGCGAGTGGACGCCGCGCGAGCCGCCGTGGAAGAAGCAGCTGTCAGAGCCGTCGAACTCGTTCAGACCGTCCAGCACGTTCTTGGAGGCGTGCGAGTGCACCACGTCGAGCAGCACGTAGATACCGAGCCCGTGCGCCGTGTCGATCAGCTGCTTCAGCTCCTCCGGGGTGCCGTAGCGGCTGGAACGCCGCGCGCATGGCAGGTTAGGCAAAGATGGCACGGCACTGCCCGGCGTGCCTGAGCTGGCGGCGAGCACGGCACATACCACAGAAATGAACTACAGCAAGGAGTGCAGCAATCATCCCTGGGAGCCTCAGGCTCTCGTAAAACGACTTCGGCTGCTCTTGCTGAGTTACGTAAAAAAACAATCTGTTAAACGTATTTACGGATATCATATCCTCAATTGATACATCGACTGTTGTTGTCAAAGTTGCTAAAAAGACCCCACAACGTCCTCACAAATACCATACACAGCGCGCGATTGTCCCGTACTTATTACACCGGTCAACGGCTGCCCGATCTCCAGGGGTAGGCCCGCCGCTGCCCGATCTCCACGAGCGCGCCCGCCGCTGCCCGATTCCCACGGATACGCCCACCGTTGCCCCATCTCCAGGGACACGCCCAGCACTGCCCGATCTCCAGGGACATACTCGCCGGCTCCCAGATCTCCAGGGACACGCCCGTCGGCCGCCAGATCTCCAGGGACACGCCCGCCGCCGTCCGATCTCCAGGGACACGCCCGCCGCCGTCCGATCTTCAGGGACACGCCCGTCGGCTGCCAGATCTCCAGGGACACGCTCGCCGCCGTCCGATCTCCAGGGACACGCCCGCCGCTGCCCGATCTCCAGGGACATACCCGCCGGCTCCCCGATCTCCAGGGACACGCCCGTCGGCTGCCAGATCTCCAGGGACACGCCCGCCGCCGCCCGATCTCCAGGGACACGCCCGTCGGCTGCCCGATCTCCAGGGACACGCCCGCCACGGCCCGATCTCAAGGGGCACGCCCACCGCTGCCAGATCTCCAGGGACACGCCCGCCGCTGCCCGATCTCCAGGGAGACACCCGCCACTCCAGGGACACGGCCGCCGCTTCACGGTCACGCACGCGTGCCGCCAGCCGCCAGCGGTGCCTCACCTGGACGCGGCGAAGAAGCTGGTGACCTGGTAGCCGAAGCTGGCGTAGTAGACGTGCTCCATGACGGCCATCAGCTGGATGGCGTTGTAGCCGAGCTTGGCGACGCGTGGCAACACGTTCCGGGCGAACTCGGTGTACTGGCCCACGCGTGGCTCGGCCGTCCCGATGCCCACGTGGCACTCGTAGATGCGCAGGCTGGCCGGCCGGCGCGGCCGGGCGTGCTGGAACTGGTAGCGCTGCCGGCGGCCGCGCGCCTCGCGTCAGGACGCGGCAAACGGAAAGGCGCCGGGGTTCGCATCAACACGAGGACAGGCGTAACGCACGGGACACCACCTGGCGGGGACAACACCGACACCGGACAGGTACAGTTGCAGCGAGCAGGCCCCGGCGGCACTGAAACCCCTCCGTCCGAGAGCGGACAGTATGTTGATCGCATTTCCCAATCGGAAGGCCGAGCGCACGCCACACACGCTGACGGGTGACCCTGCGGAGTACACACTGTGGCTCGGCGTGGGCAGACGCAGCACCGCGCAGCCCGGCGCGCACCTCTTTGATGGGCGGGTTCCACAGGTGCTGATTGTAGGCGATCCCCAGGTCCTTGGTCGGCGGCGGCTTCACGTACGTCGCCCACGGCGACAGGCGGTCCACAAACTCGCCCGACTTGGTCTTGACCACCAGCTGCCGGAGAGCGGTGTGGTAATGACGTGTGCCAGAGCCCGCCGGGCGCAGCCAACGGCGGCGGCTCGGTCTCGACCCAGGCCATGACCAGTGCCCAGACCAGCCACGGACACCGTGAGACGCCGGAGAGTCGTACCTTGACCTGCGAGAGGTGCGCAATGGGAGGCATGGCGTTCTTCGCCGGCAGTGTCAGCTGCCACTTTCCGAACGGCAGGCGCTGGAACTCGGCCAGCTGCCAGTTGTTGAACTCGCCCTTCAGGTAGAGCGCCTCGGCGGCCGGACACCACTCCAGGCACGTGACCGAGCCGTCGCGGTCCACGTGCATACCGAACCGCTCGTAGCTGCGGCTGAAGTGGTCCAGCCCACCCTCATGCTCGTTGATGCCGGCCAGCAGCTTGCTGAACTCCGCATACCTGACAGGGTGGACTGTATCAGGCAGGTCACAGGATCAGCACAGTTACTTTGGCTGTCAGGTAGTCAGGAGAGCAGACATCAACAAAACAGCACAAAACAGGCAGTGCAATTTCCAGGTGGCTCTGCAGTGGCAAACAGCAAAGCACGAGTGAAGTGAGCACGGTATCAGCAAAATAATGCTAGAAATGATGGACTTAAGCAGCCTTCTTCATATAAAGCACAGCGAAACACATCATTTACTACTGAGGAGCCTATCTATTGATTGAACAAGGCAAAAGGCCATTGAGATGGCAGCATCCAACATGTAACAGTCATTGCTACCTTCTCTTGATTTCTCCCTCATGTAACTTGAGGTATGGATCTCTCTCTAGCAAAAGATTTAGCTGTGGAGGACTTGAGGAACAATCACCACTTGCTTGAGACATCTTGTGCTGATGACTGATCCAAACTGAAGACCTGAAAGCAAACACATCCAGATGGGTGGATCAGAGAGCAGGTGCTGTTAGGGAAGACATCTTCAGAGGCAGAGCCAGTACTGACGCATTTTCTCAACCTCAAAATGTACAAATCAATGATCATTCAACCTCCACTGGTGGAACAGAGTACCAACTCATATCCAATGGAGAGGAGAGACATGACACATAGGTACATATCCTTGGCCTGGCAAGCAGGGCTTCAGCCACCAACATTGAATAGAATGTCATTTGTGTTTACTCTGGATAGAAATATTGGATAACATGTATAACTCTTAACAAAAATTCTCAGTTATACAATTCTGGATACAATAATTCATTACATATAAATGGCACCTGATGTTAGGTGAAAATAATATCACCATGTTATTAGATACCCAAATTCATTTATTCCACCAGTATAAGGATCAGACACCCCACTAAGCAGAGTGATGTGCTGACAATGATACAGATGACCATGTTATCTGTACTATGTAGTAGTATTACTCCAGCTGCAGCCATTTAGTGGCAAAGACCATTTAAGTGGCACACAGTCATAACAAGAACACAAAAACAGGTACCCAAAGTAATGACAGCCAATTTTGACCAGATTTTCATACCTTGTTCACAAATCAGTACTTTTTGGAAAAGTTTAGCAATTTTGGTAAAAATTGAAGACAATGTGACCTACTTTAAGCATATATACACCACCTGTTCTGTAAGACAAGACTTGTATGCTATCCCTTACACCCCAGAGACAGCATTACAGGTTACATGCCATAAATCACGTTCTTGGCCCCGGCTTTTAATTAAGAGACAGGGTTATTGAGGAAGCAGAATAACCCCAGGATCTTAGGCACTGGTACTGATACACACTCATGACAAGTTGAATGCAAAGTGGGTTGCTGGCATAACCCAAAAATGGTGGGCTGGACAGTGCAGTTTTCTTGTCACATTTTATGTCATGGCCAAGTCAACATAAAATCATTTCTAACATCACTGATTGGGCTCACTTAATCAGTGGATTATTATCTGGGTTCTCAGTGTTAAAACTTGAGCCAAATTTATTTCAAGTGCGCATATGCAGAAGTAGAGGCTGAAAATACATATGAGACTTTCAAAAGCAGCTTAACCCCTCTCTCTCCAAAATGCCTGACTGAAAGGGTAGGGAGATTACTTGAGTGAAATACCAGGAGTGAGAGAACATCAACCTTTCAGAATAGATGTCCATGTTTTATCCCTGGTTGACAACATTGCCTATAACCATCAGTGTTGCTGTCTCAAAAATCTCATGTCCAATGGAATGGTCCCACAATAGTGTGCACTTGCCAATCCTCTGAAACCAAAAGCAAAGCCTGGCAATGTATTCAAAACACAAATAGATGTCAACACCACTGATGCGCCTTCGTGCTTGATTCAGGCGTCACATTTCCGCGTGAGATACGCCCGCGTTGGGCTAAACACCCCAGCTATTTGCTCTATGAAATTACATCGCGTCCCCGAACACACCCTGTATTCACTTAACGCCCACGCAGCACCTCCCACCCGCCCTGACCAGGCCCCTTTCAGCTCCTCTTCAACGCGTCGCTTCGCATCGGCCCGGCTGGTTCCAAGGTCGTTCAGGTCGTGTTTGTTCTTCGTTCAAAAACTGATGTCATATTTACCTTCTACGTTTTTTCACGGCCTTCCTACGTTTGATTTACTCAAATTTGATAGAAACAGATTTTTCAGACTAATATAAATATGAATTAGGGTAGTTATTGGTGACCTTTGAAGCTAAAAGAATAGAAACAAGTGTCTTATTACATAAAAATCCCTTAGCTTTCGAGCCGAGCACCCAGTTGTACAGAACATGCGGCGGTTCACGTCGGTGTCGCGTCAGTATTGTACGCGGCCACAACAGCAGCCCAAACCCCTAAGAACCCATAAGTACGTGTCACATTTCTACCGCAATCTTGTGATAGGTGGGTAGGCAGTGGTTGAGGTAAGCAGGCATTGGTATATCATCGTTTTTATTTGGGGAGTCTTCGGGACCCCAACTGGCGTGTTTTCTTTTAGGTGACTTGCTTTGTGCGTGGGTTCCATCATTTTTGCTATTTAACCCCGCCCCCAACTTACTTTGTGGGACTACACTCCTTTAGCTAAGTACTCGATACGTAAGGTGCAGGGGGACGCAAGACATGTTACTTTGACAGCCCCCATTGGTACACAATACGCAGGCTGCAGTAGGTCTGTGGATTCAGGAACTGGATTGTAGTTGGGCGATAACCAGTTTGTTCAAACCAGCAGCCGATTTTAACTGAATACATGATTCAAATTATGATTGCGCCCAGATATCTTGAGAAATGATTGATTTTATTTTTGTGGGGTGGTGTTAGGCATAGTTCTGGTTAACTTGTTCAATGAAAACATGATACTTGTGCACAGATGGAGGTCACAGTATTTGGAAGGTCCGATATGTAGCTGTGATCAGACAACCAGAATCACCACTCCTGTCACCAAAATAGACTTCCTGATCACAAGCTGAATCAGCAAGCAAAATGCTCAGTTTATCACCAGAAAGGCTGGTGCATCACCAATGGTGGCAGTTTAAATTTGGTTCAGCCGTCTGACCAAACTCAAGTGCTAAAATGTCTGATAATAGGAATAAGGGTGTGAGCAATCACCAAAATGAATTGAATTGTTACTTAAATCACAGCTCCTTGCCCCTTATAGCTTAAAGAGTGTTCCACATTTGTATGAGACTTTTAACTGAAATAGCCATCTTAAACATTCAGTGCAGTTCACTGCCCTGCTGCCCTTGGGACCTATTCCCTTCTAATATCTGAGGTACGCCATAGCTCAAACATAACCTTAGATTGCATAACATAATTTTTCTGACTTAACCTAAACTTTCATAGTCACCTAGTGGCTGCTTTTAGGATATGTTGTAGTATATTTCTGGGATGCCATGCTCTAGGACAGCAGAATCACATGTAAGATGGTTACCTCAAGATGCCTCAAGGATACAATCATACAAATTAGGTATTTATGGTTCACAAGCTATCATCACAATCAGAATTGACCAGAATCCAGCCTTTTCAGGATCCAGCTTAAGTGTTAAGCACAAAAATGCACCCACGTGTACCCACACTGGCATTGGATTTTTCAGGTGAGGGACCATCACAAGTCATTCCCAAACACTGAGCCAGCACCATGACCCAGGATGCAGGCGACAGCCACATGTACTCGGTTCTCCTGCCGACATACAATGAGCGTGAGAACCTACCCATCATTGTGTGGCTGCTGGTCAAGTACTTCACCGAGGCGAGCGTCGAGTTCGAGATCATCGTGATCGACGACGGCAGTCCTGACGGCACGCTGCAGGCTGCCGAGCAGCTGCAGCGCATCTACGGAGAAGAGCGCATCGTGCTGCGGCCGCGCGCCAAGAAGCTGGGCCTCGGCACCGCCTACATCCACGGCGTGAAGCACGCGCGCGGCGACTTCATCGTCATCATGGACGCCGACCTGTCGCACCACCCCAAGTTCATCCCGCAGATGATCGCCCTCCAGAAGGCGGAAGACCTGGACATCGTGACGGGCACGCGGTACAGCGGCACGGGCGGCGTGTCCGGCTGGGACTTGCGCCGCAAGGTGATCAGCCGCGGCGCCAACTACTTGACCCAGGTGATGCTGCAGCCAGCCGCTAGCGACGTGACTGGCAGCTTCCGGCTTTACCGCAAGGACGTGCTGCGCCGGCTGATCGGCGCCTGCGTCTCCAAGGGCTATGTCTTTCAGATGGAAATGATTGTGCGCGCCACGCGCCTCGGCTACCGCATCGGCGAGGTGCCCATCAGCTTCGTCGACCGCGTGTACGGCGAGTCCAAGCTGGGCGGCTCAGAGATTGTCAGCTTCGTCAAGGGTCTGCTGCACCTGTTCGCCACCACGTGACGTGGCCGTGACCGCGGTGACCGTGCTGGGAGGTGAGCGTGGCTCGAGAACATTCCGAGCTGCTGCGTGGAGCAGCGGCCAATGAACAAACACGGTGCTGGTAATTGCTGTGGGTGACCTCTGAATTGCTACTTTTGTACTGTCGCCTCGCCTTGGGTGAGTTCTGAAATACCCATGTTGTGTATGGTATTTGGTGGTTGCTTCACCAGGCTTAACAAATACGATGAGCAATGAAAGAACGAGCGTTCAGGAAGCGTTCGAAGCGCAACAGACGCGCTGGGAATGGTGCATTGCAGCGCAAGATGACTACCTAGAAAGCGATGGCAACCGAATTCAGACCAGAAGCGTTTTCTGCTGTTATATGTGACTTGTTGACCGCGCCTTGCATGCTATGTTTCACACCACTAGAATGCCTTGTCACTGAAGAGAAGAGCATGGCAGATCATAAGAATCCTAAAGCTCAGGTATAGCGGCCATGGCTAAAGGTTGTCACAACGTTGTGCGCCTTCTGTGTTTGCCATCTTGTGTTTCATCTTTCGGTCTACTTTGTGAACGAAGTACCAAAGGACGGGCATCCGTACGTTCATCGATCCCCGAGCAGTCACGGTGAAACAGATTTCAAGCCACGCATATGTATGCAGTGCAGAAATACCGATCACAGAGGCGCAAACGGGAAAGTCTGCTACAAGGCCAGCTGCCACGCAACCAAACAATATGTGACTGGTTCATGGATCACAACGAAGCATAACATTCTCGTTTGCAGGCGAAACATTACGAGAAGCGCTCACAGCTCAACAAGAGCTGTGAGCGAACCGCGACAGCCCAAGGCACGAGAGCCGTGCTCGTGGCTGCGGGGCGTCGGGTCACAGTTAACACTCGTCTAAGATTACACACTGTCCCATTATAACAAAGATCAACGATATAAACCACAATGCTCGCAATATCACAACTTTCAACCACTGGCGGATCGCCGTGAATTTGGCAGGTACCTGTTCACACAACACGCGTCTGCCGAGGGCACGCAGGCATGCGCAGTGAATAAAGAGCGGGCTGCGAGGCGGGGCGCGCGGGGCCGGGGCAGGCGGCACCGGCAGAGCTCCGTCCTGAGCGCGCCAGTCACGGCGCGACTGCGGACAGCGCCGGCTCGACCGCCACGGCCCGCCGGCCCGCGCGGCCCGCCTCTCAGCAGAGCAGAAGACAGGCGACGACTACAAGCAACGCGCGTGCTCTACACTACTCCGGGCGCGGGTCGGCGCACGACGGCGGATCGCGCGCGGGGCTGGTCAGTTCTGGCGTCGGGTCGTCGGTGGCGTGGTCTACGAGGCGGCGGCCGCCACGCAGCTGAGGTCGGCCTGCAGGCAGTGCAGCCGGCCGCGGTCGTCGCCGCACACTAGGCCCGTTGGCAGGCCGGCAGCCGGCGCCGCCACCAGCGCGCAGTGGCGCACGCAGCTGGCGAACTCGAACTCGCCCACCTGGCGGCGCCCGGACGGCCGACGTCAGCACAACACGCCGCGAGACGTCCAGACCCCAGCACACCGCATCGGCAGCCACGGGTGAGGCGGAGCGCGCCACTCTGCCCGCCCTCCTCTGACACACGCTCACATACAGTCCAGCCGACGACCGTGCATCCCACCTAACGTCCACCGCATGCTCGCAGAGCGGCGGTGTCCGGTCCCGCCGCCTCGCCACCCAGCGCCGGCTCGCCTCCCTCCACAGCCCAGCCGACGGCCATGCATCCCACCTGACGTCCACCGCATGCTCGCGGAGCGGCGGTGTCCAACCCCGCCGCCTCGCCACCCAGCGCCGGCTCGCCTCCCTCCACAGGCCGGGCGTCGCCGTCGCCGCAGGCTGGACGGCGCCTCACCTGTTCCAGTTGGGCGGTGTCGGCGGCGCGGCGGCGCCACACCATCAGCCGCCGGTCGGCGCCGCTGCTGTACAGGATCTCGGGCCGGCACGGGTCACGGCCCACCCACGTGACGGCGGCCGCGTGCGCCTGCCGGCGCGGTCCCGGGTCAGACAGGCGCCGGGAGGATGCCTACGACGCCGCACTGGCAGCGTCAGCAGGTTGGGGTTCAGAGGATGTTCTGCCCGGAACGGAGCTGCCGTTCGGTACATGACAATCTACTAGCAGCTTACATCTCTGCCACTCGAAGGAAAAAACATCGCCAATCGCGTAAACATAAGCTTTAAGTCAACGTTCAACGCGACATAAAACAATTAACTATGCAGCACGTCAGACATGATGGGCACATCCGACATGAATACCATTGGCAACATCATGAGCAAAAAGTATTTTTCCATTGGAATAGCATCATGGTGGTTGGCAGTGGCGAAAGACCAAAATGTGCATCTTAACACGCATCTTGTAAGATATGTCTTAAGCAAGCTGCGGAGCTCCAACGTATTCAAGTCAGACAGAAAAAGAAACGTATCCGCGCAGTTTACAAGCCATTTTAGCACTCATGTTGTCAATAAACGCGTGTTCGCATGCATTTGCGAGGCAATGAAGCGAGTGGACGTACGCGGCAGGCTACACTGGGCAGGCGACCCTTTTACATAGACGAAGGGGCATCACTACGCGTTTAAGATACCTTCCACTAGCACAGACGCGTGATGCTGGCCATGCGTGCCAGTTTCGTGCTTTATTTTTTTTGTGCTCCGGATGTGTTAACAGCTATTTTTAGCGAATTTGCAATAGTTAAATCATTTGATGCCTTTAAACCAAATTAGGTTTGTTTCCCAGCAATTTGCCTCGGAAATGCAGTCCGCTAAGGTTTGCTGCATTGCACTGAAGAGTTCCGACCGCACACCGTGGTCATGAGCCGGACACAAGAGTCCAGCGGCCGGACGCTGTCGGCGCCGTGCGGCCCCCTGCCGCGCTCGCTGCCGCCTGCCGGCCGGGCAGTCCCGGAGCGCACCTTGGTGCAGCTGTACTCAGCGCCGGAGCGGCACCAGAGCCGGCCGGCGGCGTCGCCCAGCACCAGCTCAGTGTCGGTCACCAGCAGGGCGGTAGGGGCGGTCGGCTCGGGCGGCGCCCCGTCCTTGTTCACGGGCTCGGCGTCGGCGCCCGGCGGCCGCACCTCCCGCCGCTGGGCATCGGTCGGCAGCTGGCACGAGGAGGCGGCCGGCGGCTGCAGCCGGCGCGCCGCCGGCAAGACCGGCTCCCACTCCGCGCTGCGCGGGCAGGCACAGGGCAGTGTCAGATGACACTCCCGGACATGGCCCCACACCACGCGGGGGGGGGGTGCGGACACAGGTCAGTGTCAGATGACACTCCCGGACATGGCCCCACACCACGCTGGGCGCGCGGGCACAGGTCAGTGTCAGATGACACTCCCGGACATGGCCTCAGACCACGCTGGGCGCGCGAACACAGGTCAGTGTCAGATGACACTCCCGGACATGACCCCACACCACGCTGGGCGCGCGGACACAGGTCACTGTCAGATGACACTCCCGGACATGGCCCCAGACCACGCTGGGCGCGCGCGCAGACATGGTCTGCTGCAACAAGGACGTGTTTATGCACTTCAGACGCGCATCAAAAGAGGACGACACCATGAGAAACACGTGATATGCAATGCATACTAGAGGGCTCAAATTAGATGCAAGACAGCAAGCTCCGCGGAGAAAGTCATACCCGGAGATCTGCACACGAGGGAACGCTTGGCACGCAACTCATTCCTGTCATTTGAAGACGATTAACGGTGTTTTAGCTATTGCAGCTGTCACCTACGCCTGAATATTTGGGATGATGTAAGGGGACATTTGTATCTCGGGTATAACAAACACCGTGACACCCCCGATAATGGGTGTGGAGTCCTCGGTGAGCCTGGATTAATTGGGAATGACCCTGCCGGGCCGACCAAAACCAGTGCCGGGCATGACGGCTACCTTGTGGCCGAGAAGGTACGACCGCTGACACGGAAGCGGCCCGGGTCACTGCGTGTGGGCCCGGCAGAGCGAGAGGACACGGTGACAGTGGCAGGGACGGCGGCAGTGACGAGGACCTGCCGGTCCCGCAGTAACACTTAACACTCACCGCAGCACGTTGAGGCGCTCCGACTGTTCCAGCCGACAGACCATGCCGTTCCTGTCGCAGGCCACTAGCGTCGAGGTCCCCAGCGCGCGCACCTGCATCACGGCCGGGTCCGGATCGGCGCCGCTGGGGGCCGCGCGGCCGCCGGGTCAGGCCGGTGCGCACGGCGCGCGCGGCAGCCGGACGGGCATCGCAGGCCGCTCGGCGGCGAGGCATACACGCCGGGGTGCGGAGGGCATGCGGCGCTGGCACGCGACGACGCGGCACCACGCGGCTGCGCATTGTGCTCGCTGGAGAACGCGGCGCAAAAGGCCAGGAGTGAACATCATCGATCGCGACAGCGGCGATCCGGTCGCAGAAACTCGACCCCGGCTATGGGAGCGGCGCGGTGATATCACAACCCCGCCGGATGGTCCACGACTCCCCAGAGGTGATATCACAACCCCGCCGGATGGTCCACGACTCCCCAGAGGTGATATCACAATCCCGCCAGATGGTCCACGACTCCCCAGAGGTGATATCACAACCCCGCCAGATGGTCCACGACTCCCCAGAGGTGATATCACAACCCCGCCAGATGGTCCACGACTCCCCAGAGGTGATATCACAACCCCGCCAGATGGTCCACGACTCCCCAGAGGTGATATCACAACCCCGCCAGATGGTCCACGACTCCCCAGAGGTGATATCACAACCCCGCCGGATGGTCCACGACTCCCCAGAGGTGATATCACAACCCCGCCAGATGGCCCACGACTCCCCAGAAACCTCCCCTCTCCCCCGCGCCCGACACAGCTGCGTCACAGGTTCTGACGGGCTGCCGCCTCACCACTGATACAAGGCGTGTCTCTTGGCGCACTTGTTGACCACGGTCAGGTGGCCGTCGGCGTCGCCCACCAGCAGGCAGCGCTGCTGGCCGCCGACGGCCACGCAGAGCAGCGGCGTGATCCAGCCGCCCATGGGACACCAGTCCAGCTTGTGGTGGCCGCCGCCGGCCGGCTCCAGGGTCACGTGCACGGCGAACACGCCGTCAGGCATGACGCCAGCGGCGGTGAACGAGAGCGCGCCATCCGCGTCCAAGCTGACGGCGCCCACCGCAGCCGCCACCAGCTCGCTCTGCAGGCCCGGCAGCGGTCAGGGGCGTCGCCGCCCACGCCCGGTCACCAGGTCAAGATCACACTCAATAGTCATGGCCACATGCCATCAGCTGAGGGTATTGTCACACCACGAACCCACGGCCGACGGAAACGAAATGAGTACCTTGGCGAAACAGGAATGGTTGTCAGTAGATCGACCCTAGTGGATGTCACGATACACGGAAGCTGATGCATGACAGCAGGACGCTGAACAATATACACCAGGGAGTTTTGCACATCTAAGCACATATTTCAGCTGCGGTCCCTTAGAAGCTAACCTCATGACCACCAAACCCATACCTTAGTGTCCTCCTTCATCTTGACTGTGTACACCGCTGTGGGCATCTTTCCGTCTGTGACGTTCATCTTCCACGCAGTCATACAGCGGTCCCGGCTGACGGTGACCACATAAGATGTGACACGGTCATCCGCCGTCCAGATGTGCTCCACAGTGAGGAAGCCAGAGTCGACTGATGAAAACGGCAGTTTGCTCGGCGTGCCAGAGCTTGACGCTGCCATCTAGCGACGCTGACAGCAGGCTGTTCTTTGTCACGGTCACGCTGCTGACGTCGGCAGTGTGATCGCCGAAGCTGGCTACACAGTGCATCTGCAACAAAGGGCCGAAAGCTCGAGAAGACCAGAGTGGGAGAACAGACACATCACTCACCTGGTTGCCATCTCGACGAAGCTTCACCGTGGCGCGCCACCTTTGAAGAAAGATATCCGCGAGTCCGGGGGCTACCGGCTAGCTAGACCTGCTCACGTCCCTCCGTGCACAGACCGGTACCGAACACTGCCCCAACTCCGGGTGACTCGCGGTGCCCGGCCAGCGCCGCGGCGCCACGGTGGGCCCGGCGGCCGACCACCGACCTTCTGCAGGTCGATAACGACGGTGGCATCCTGCTGCGGCAGCAGGCCGACCAGCCGTCCGTCGGCCAGCCGCGCCAGGTCGGGGCGCGAGCCGAGCCGGCACCGCTGCTCTGTCACCGGCACCAGCCGGCTCGTCCACAGCAGCACCTGACCGCCGGCCGTGGCGCTCAGCACGTGGTTACCCTGCCGGTCAAACGTGGGGTGAGGTCAGGACTTAGCTCGGCATGGGCGTGCCGCTGACACCCAGCGCTCAGTTGACTCAACTGGCACCCGACACATCATGTGCCAGTGTCCCGACTGACACCCGACACATCGATTCTCCGCAGTGACCATCATCCCCTCCCCTGCGGAGGGTGACAGGCAGGCGTCGTCACATAGTCTCGGCGGCTTCATGCGTCGCAAAGCCCCGGCGACGAAGAAGGCGATCACTTAGATCGCTGCTGAACCGGTTCAGTGACGTAGCTAGCAGAGGTGCCGTTTTTAAAGTTCCTGTCCGTGGTCCAATCCAAAGACGAAAGGTGGACCCACTGTCCGTCCAAGTGTACCTAAAAATTGGGTCGTCCAAAACGTTCAAAAAAGTCCTGCCTATATAAAAAATGACTTAACTACAACCAATAACCCGTCATTTCTCGCGGCGTTGCATTCATCACTAGAATCGACCAAACAGAAAGCACATGATCGTGGTTAAGTAATGTGTAGCATGGGCGTTCGTGAAAACATCAACAATTTACAAGGCACATCGCTGTCCGCTGAGCCTATCACAGAGCTCGACGACGGCAGCTTAATCAGCTGGTGAGAGCTAACCAATCGTGACTAGGCAAGAGATGAGGATCACGGGATCTCCTGAAAACATTACGATCGATGCCCTTTCTATCGTTGTTCATAAAAGAAGCTTTTAATCTCATGTGTCAAAACGTATCATTTTCTAGTGCGGCTCATCAACAACTTGTTTATGCTTCAGAATCAAACTATTTTGAAAGCGAGCAGCATTACATTAAATGAGATGTTTACCAATAAGTGACATGACAGCATGATATCAGCTATCAAACACCGAACATATTTGCCCCCGTCCATCCCATTCCAAAATTGGATTATAATTTTTGGAGGAGCTCCAAAAAATTGGAATCCAATCAGCACTTCTAGAAGTTCAAAGGGCCATGGTCTTCGCCCCTCCCCCTCCCTGGAGGTGGAGAAGGCTTACCCGGGACAGAAGGCCCCAGTGCTTTTTGGTAGTTTAAGGCGCCAGTAGCACTTCAAAATCGTAACAAACAACCCCTGAAGCATCAATATATAATCCCAAGCATGCATGGCCTGGAACCCAAACACGGTCCCTGGCGACGACGAGGGGGCTTCATGGTTGGAAGAGCCCCTATGCCCCGATCTGGCCCTACCCTGGGCGAAGCCCTGGCTACGCCTCTGAACCGGTTTTATACCCTTGGCCCCGCCGAATGAATATCACATCAACTCCGCCAGAACTGCGCATATGTCGGTTTGTCGACGAGGCCTACTGCGAAGTAATCGCTTGCTTTTTAACGACCTTGGTTGGCTCCCACACGGCGCCATACCAGCTGGTCGGAGTGGTGGACTGGTCGGTCCGCCCGAGGGGCCTCTGACATTGGTAGCGGCCGGGGATTCCCAGGCGGCGGGCACCGCCCTCAGGCTAGCTGGTGGAGCGCCGACAGGTTTGCCGTCCGTCCGGCCGGCCCTGGCCGACGGCTGGAGGCGCCCCGCCTCGGCCATTAGTGCCATCCGTGACCGCCTGCCGACCTGACGCCATGTCTTGGGCGCCCCCCGCCGGCGCTGCCGCTGCCGCTGCCGCTGCTGCCGCTGCTGCTGCTGCTGCTACTGCTGACTGCCGCGCAGGCCAGCCCAGCACACAGTCTGGCCCGGCGCTCCTCTGCGGTACGCGTCAGCAAGAACTGTCTGCGCTGCATCTGCCAGGCGCGCGGCTGCGACTGGAGCGTCGGCTGCCAGAATGACGTGTGCGGCGCGTACATGATGAACGAGGACTACTTCATCACCAGCAACGTCACCAGCCGGGCCAACCTCTACAAGGCTTACACCTTCCAGAGGTGCGCCAGCAACCCGGCGTGCGCCACCCTGGCCGTGAAGCTCTTCCTGCAGAAGCTGCCTTCGGACTGCGACGGCGACGGAATCATCGACTGCGACGACTTCGTCAAGGAGCACTACTACGGCCCGAACGGGTGCGTGGGCGCCGGCTGGATCGAATTCTCCGACACGTGGCGCAAATACCGCAATTGCAAGAGAGAATACGAAATGGTGTAAATGCATTCAGCCAATCTGACAGACGTGCGCGATGTGCAAAGTTGGCTGTATACCGAACCCCTGTGTCACAACAGCTGGTGGGCTAGTGCTCTTGTGCTCCAGCTTCGAATGATGGTGGGATGGCTTATCCCCTAAACGCTGCCGGTAACAATTCGCTCTGCGACTAATACCCGCAAAAGTAATTCTGATGGCTGGCGTCCGGTTATAAAGGCAGACATGGTGCCGTGTTTGAGTCATCAAGGTCGCATAACGCGACAGAGGCGCTGGATGGTCGACCTTATCATGGACTAGAACAAATTGCAGTCCCAATGATCGCGACTCCAAGCCGCTCCAGCGTCAAGAGTCGAACCTGCATACCCCTTATCTCAAAATACGCAGCTCTGTACACCATTGTTCACGTGGCGTACGTTAGCGTGATGTTCGGCATTGGTGCGCGTGTGATTAGCAGCCCTTCGGTCGACCAGAGCAGCCGCGCAGGCCACACAGGTGACACTGGGTGACGCGACCGGCGCCGTCGTAGATATCGCCCGCCATTACAGCTTCCTCCCCCCCCCCCCCCCTTCCTCTGCTGTCCGTCCCTCCCTCCTCCCGGCCCGCGTAACACCTATGGGGAGGCATTAGCTTGTTGTTGTTGTTTATTGGAGTTTAGGGGCGCGCCGACTGCGGTGGTCATTTGGCGCCCATAACGAGTTTGGTTTTACCTATCTAATGAGCCGCATAAATGGTCCCAAAGTTGATGTGTTTGAGAAACAAAAAGATCTGTTGAAATTCCAGAAATCGTGATTTATCTCCTAGCATATCACAGATGGTAAGGGGCAAGTCATGCTGTCCAAAATAGCGTTGGCGTTCTTCCGCGAGGCGCGGACAAGAAATAAGAATATGGCGAACGGTGAGGACGGCACCACATCGATGACAGATCGGTTTATCGGCTCCCTCCAACATATAGCCGTGGGTTGCGTATGTGTGCCCGATGCGCAATCTGCAGAGGATCACCTCCTCTCGCCGCATTTTCCGCGAACAAGAGAACCACTGACCTAGCTTAGGTTTTATCTCTCTGAGCTTATTACAATCCATCCGGTCCCAACAACGCTGCCACTTGTTGTGCAGGAAGGTTTTTATTGTGGGGTAAAAGTCTCTGGCAGGAATAGAAAGAGAGTGAACACATGGAGCCAGCGCTGCTCGCCTAGCAGCCGCGTCAGCCAGCTCGTTGCCCGCGATGCCGACATGACTAGGAACCCAACATAGCATGATTTTCTTTCCGGCCTCATCCAGATGAGTCAACGTATTAAAATGTCCTGTATAAGGGGACATGACGGATAAAAGACTTCACACTCAGAACGCTGCTCAGAGAGTCCGTCAAAATGAGATGCAAGGGTTCGTCACGACTTCAATGAAACATAGTGCCTTAATGATTGCTATAAGCTCTGATGTAAACACCGAAGCGTTTGGGGGCAATGAAAACGACCGGGGTGACGCCACCGCTCACAAACGCACAGCCTACACCATCAGAAGTTTTAGAGCCGTCCGTGTAAGTGTGTGTGTAGCCCTCATATAACGCAATACGCTCAAACGCTCTGGACCTCATTATATCTGGCAGCGAGACACCTTTTTTCATTTCAGTCAGAGATGTGTCTGTGAAGGGTGAGATCAAATGCCAGGGAGGAGTGCACAGGTGACGTGATCGCTTCACCTTTCGAATGGGAATTTCGGTTTCCCGCAGTAAGGCTTATATCCGGGAGCCAAAGGTCACTGCATGCGCCCGAGGTGCATTGCGAACAAACGGCACAGCAGGCCGCGGAAAGACTGCGTGATATGCGGGGTGACACGGAAACTGTCGCAGCTTCAGTGCATAACGCATGCCAAGCATTTTCCTCCTCGCTGACAACGGCGGCTCGTACGATTCTACCAAGAGGCTTTGGGTAGGAGATGTACGGAACGCCCCTGTGATGGCACGTAAAGCAGTGTGATGGATGGTTTGTCAATGATCCGTTTCGTGGACTCACATGCGCTGTCATAAATAAAACATGCATAGTCCAGCTTAGAGCGTATGATTGCCCGATACAGCAGCAAAAGCGTGCTCCGATCTCCGCCATACGACGTGCGCGAAACACATTTTAATACGTTCAAAGATTTAAAAACAGCGTTCACGTAGCGTTTTAAGATGTGCCTTATATGTAAGTCGGCGGTCAAAGTATACCCCAAGGTATCTAGCCACAGGCTCAGTTGGGATGCATTGTCCATACATACGGATAGAAAGGTCACCGCATTGCCGGCTACGACAAAATGCATGGCTACAGTCCTGCTACGTGAAAACCTGAACCCGTTCATGGTACCCCACTCTCCAACGCGGTCAACAGCTAACTGGAGTTGGCGTTCCATCGATGGTGGTCTTGCTGCGCTAGTCCAAATAGTAAAATCATCAACAAAAGCGCACGACCTACAGACTGCGGAAGCCCCATCCCGATGTCGTTGATCATAACGGCGAACAAAGCTACGCTGAGAACGCCGCCTTGGGCACCCCATTAACTTGAACATGCCTCTCAGAGAGCGCGTCTCCAACACGGACACGGAAAGAACGGTCAACTAGAAAGTTTGAAGAAAGGTCCCCATATTGCCGCGTATACCATACCTGTGTAGCTTGAGAAGGATGCCTTGACGCCAATGTGGTGTCATAGGCGCCCTCTATGTCAAAGAACACTGCGCCTATGTGTCGGCTTGCTTTAAATCCCATACGAATCGCAGTGTCAAGAACTAAAAGATGTCAACTGTGCTGCGATTCTTTCTAAAGCCACACTGGGCGTTTGTAAAAACGCCGTGGTGTTCTAAAAACCAAGTTAAACGGACATTAACCATCTTTTCCATCAACTTAGAGAGCGATGAAGTGAGAGAAATAGGTCTATAGTGTAAAGGATCCAGTCCACTTTTACCCGGTTTCAAAATAGGAACGACTATAGCTTCTCGCCAAGAGGCTGGAAAGTCCCCACTGGCCCAAAGCGCATTAAATACCGCTAATAAAACGCGAAGCACGCGACGCGGCAAATGCTTGAGCATGTCGTTGTGCACAGTGTCCGGGCCTTCTGACACGCTGCGAAGCTTGGCAATCGCCCAATCCAACTCGACTAGGGTGAATGGATCATTATAACAATGTAGCTCACTCGTTGAAAAATCCACTCCAGATTGCTCACATTGCGCTCGGTGCCGCACAAACTGTGGGTTAGTGTTGCCACCTTCGCTGCGGTAGGCCAGCGCCCGGGCAATCTCGTTCGCAACTTCCAAGGGGCGCGTCACGGCCTGTCCGTTCACACATAGTACCGGAAGAGCCATGGATGTAAAGTGCCCAGATATGCGCTTAATTCGAGACCATACCTGCGATGTTGGTGTGAACCGGTTCAACGTACTCACGTAAGCATGCCAGGACGCACGCTTCGCCTCTCTTACGGTGCGCCGAGCAAAAGCCCTCGCTTTCTTAAAGGCTATGAGGTTTTCTGTAGTACTCCTGGCGTCAAAAGCCCGAAACGCACGTTTACGCGCCCGGATGGCGCTCCGACACTCCTCCGTCCACCACGGAACAGGAGTACGTCGGGGAGCGCCAGACGTGCGTGGGATAAAGCTGTTGGCACACTCTAGAAGTCTGTGAGTAAAACCTCAATAGAGGGTACCGTCCTCACAGCCTCAGTTACGAACGATTCGTCGAGCCGAGTCTCAAATTCACACCAGTCCGCTTTCTTAAAATTCCAGCGTTGTGGGCCGAACACCCAACGCTCCACCTCTCTTAAACCGGACCCACACTGGGAAGTGGGTCGCTTCCCATGGGGTCATCTCCAACACTCCACTCGAGGTGTTGGACGAGCTGGGGACTGGAGAGGCTTAAGTCTAGTGCGGACGTCTGGCCGGACGGCATTGTAAAATGCGTACGAGTTCCTGTGTTTAAAATACATAGTGAAGCACCGTGGATAAAATTCTCGCACAGCCTCCCACGAGCATTGGTGACGTCACACCCCCATGCGGTGTGATGTGCATTAAAATCGCCGAGAAGAAGAAGTGGCGGAGGCAGTTCAGCCAGCAGACACCTAAGGTGCGCCAACGGAAAAGCAATGCCTGGTGGAAGGTAAAGTGAGCAAACAGTGATGTGACGATGGTTGAAATAAAGCCGTACGGCCACAGCCTGAAGTGTGGACCGCAAGCTTAGCCTCCTCGCTGGCACGCTATGGTGAACTGCCAGGAGGACGCCACCGTGAGCGATGCTCTCCGTCAACACGTCGTTGCGAAACATCGCATATCCTTTCAGAGAGCAAAAATTGTCAGGCGCTAGCTTGGTTTCCTGCAGCGCCACGGCTGCAGGAGAGACTCTGCTGACGACAGCCTCGAGATCGAGGGCGTTCGCCCTTAATCCTCTACAGTTCCACTGTAAAAACGCCTGTAAAAGGGCGTATTAAAAAAGAGGTAAGATGTGAGGAGCTAGAACAATCCCGGCTTAAAAAATTCGGCTGCACCAGTTGCATGTCCAGACGCCTCAGACCGAGAGCTTCGGCTTAATTCCGGGGGGCCGTGCCCCACCCTAGGACGAATCCTTGGGCTACCTCCGTCAGATGGAGATGGGGGGCCGGCTGGGGCACGCTTTACGCCAGCGTACCCAGCCCGGGGTGGAGGCGGGGGAGGGCCCATTGGTGGGCCTCTACCGGGGTTCGAGGCACCAGCGGGGGCCTCCACCGGCTTCGTGGCGATGGGAGTGCTGGTTCGGGGGACGGGCTCTTTGTCTGCACCGGACAGGCGGCTTGCCGCCTTAGCGCGCTCCAGTTCGGCCAAGCGTGCTCGCTTGGCCTCGCGGGCGCCTGTCAGCTTCCTGACGTTCCAGCGTCTCTGCCACACGCTCCACAGGCACTGGCAAGAGGTGTCTGTGGCAAAGGGAACCGATTGGGTCGCAGACAAAGGCAAGGCCGGCGGCGCGCGGGGACTCCGACCACGCCGAGCCGTCGTCCAACCGTCGCCCGCTGGTGATCCGGCGCGCGCCGAGGAGGCCAGCGGTGCGACGTCCACCGATTGCTCGATCGGCGGAGAGGGAGCTTGGGGTGCCGACTGGGAGTCGGGCGTTCGGACCGAGGGAACAACCGACAGGCCAAACGACCTCAGAAAGTCCCACGAACTGAACGGCCCGTCATGTGCTCGATGGCATTACTTTGTGGGAACGAAGTTTTCAC